CCCTCCGTAAGCTTGGCAAGGCTGGGGTGAACACCAACACGGATGGGGCACGCACTTATAAGGGGAAGCTGGGCAATCGGGTGCTTTGGGATCTGCACGAGAGCAAGGACGTGTACAGATCTATGTGGCAGCTGCCGGCCCTGGCGTGGCATGGTGGGGGGCAGGCTGGAGAGGGGTCTGCATCCCAGGGGGAGTGCAATGCCGTTGGAGGGGTTGGTGTGAAAGTGTCGGCCAGATCTGGGGAGACAGATTGGGCAACGGCACACCGGCGCTTAGGGCATGTGGCAATGCCTTTGCTGAAGCAGCTGGAGAAGGATGGAGCCGTTAAGGGTCTGAAGCTGAACGGACAGCCACCCGATGACAACTGTGAAATCTGTTTGCTTTCAAAGTTCACCCGTTTCCCTTTCCATAGTGTGGCTGGCAGGAGCAAGAAGCCTTTGGAGCTGGTCCACATGGACTTGGTGGGGCCGCTGCCGGTGCAAGGGCACAAGGGGGAGCGGTATTTTCTTACAATTGTGGATGACTGGAGCAGGCTGATGTGGGCGTATCCGCTGAAGCAGAAGGACCACGCCGCCTCCACGATACGGGACGATTGGCTGCCATTCGTGGAGAAGCAGGCGGAGTGTGTAGTGAAGCGGATTAGGACAGACCGGGGTGGTGAGTTCCTTGGAGCTGAAATGACGGCCTGGCTCAAGAAGCAGGGCATCCAGAGAGAGCTGACCACGGCTTATACCCCACAGTCCAATGGTGTAGCAGAACGGGCAAACCGGACCATTCTGGAGACAGCTAGGGCGCTGCTCATAGAATCTGGGCTGAGCAATTCTATGTGGCCTCATGCTGTCCGGCACGCCACTGTCGCTAGGAACAGGGTGCTCACCAAGGTTGGGGATGACTCGTGGGTGCCTTTGGAGAGGTGGCTTGGGAGGAAGCCGCCGGTGGACATGCTGAGGGTGTTCGGTTGCATGGCAGTCGCCCACGTCCCCAAGACCTACCGCAGTAAGTTGGGGGCGAGTGCAATCTGGTGTGTGCATTTGGGGCTGGCTGCTGAGAGCAAGGGATGGCTGCTGTGGGAACCATCCAAGGGTGTGTTGTTTGACAGCAGGGATGTGAAATTCATTGAGGGCATGATGTATGGGAGCTGGGAGAAACAGCCGGAGGCCCGGGTGTCCCAGCAGATGGAGCAGATCACCATGCAGCTGGACCTGACTCCTAGTGTGTGGGAGGAGGGAGAGGAGGCAGCTGCTGGAAATGGTGATGGAGAGAAGGTACAGGAGGCATCTGCTGGTGGAGAAAATGGTGTGGAAACTGGCGGCAGCACTAGTGGAGCTGCTGGACCCGAGGGAGGAGAGAAGCAGCAGGGAAAAACTAAGAAGCCGAAGGGTGTCGTTATGAAGGGATGGGAGACACCCGTCTCCAGGCCAGGACGTACCCGTATGGCTACTAAGAAGCTGACTGCAGGAACTGATGCAGCAGAGCAGCAGCTAGGGACCGAAGAGGCATTGCTGATTCTACCTCATGGCTATGACCCGGATGAGGAGGATGAGCCTGCGTACTGTTTTCTTGCCCCTGCACCAGAGGAACCAGCTAGCATGGAGGAGGCATTAGCTGGACCAGATAGGGACAAGTGGCTGGCTTCTAGGGATGCTGAGTACCAGAGTCTGCTGGAGAATAGGACATGGGATCTGGTGGTGCTGCCTGATGGGAAGAAAGCGATACAATGCAAGTGGGTGCTGAGGATCAAGACCGATGACAAGGGGCAGGTCACCATCTACAAGAGTAGGCTGGTGGCGAAGGGGTTTATGCAGAAGGAGAAGCAGGACTTCAACGAGATCTTTGCTCCCACTGCCAAACCCCCTACCCTCCGTGTCTTGTTGGCAGATGCAGCTGTTAGTGGGAAATTCATCATTCAGATGGATATTTCAACGGCATTCCTGAATGGGATTTTAGAGGAGGATGTGTACATGACGCAGCCGCCTGGGTATGAGGATGGTACGGGCAGGGTGTGCAAGCTCAACAAGTCCATCTACAGCTTGAAGCAGGCGCCACGCTGCTGGTACCAGAAGTTGGCAGCTGTTTTAGAGGAGATGGGATTCAGGACCAGCAGCTGTGATGAGAGCCTCTTTCTCAAGGGCGAGGGGGAGAAGCTGGTGCTGTTTCTGGTCTATGTGGACGACATTCTTCTCTTCAGCAGCAGCATGAAGGAGATCCAGAAAGTGCAGCAGCAACTGATGGAAAACTTCAAGTGCAAGAACCTTGGGGAGGTAAAGTACTACCTCGGGATGCACGTGGAGAGGGATCCAGATCACAGGTGGTTGAAGCTGCACCAGGAGAAGTTCATCAAGGAGCTGGGGGAGAAGTATGGGATTGAGAATGAGCGCAAGGTTGCAACTCCCCTGCCAGCAGAATTCAAGCTTGTGAAGGCTGCAGAGGATGAAGGGGTTGAAGCTGAAGAGCAGCAGCAATTTCAGTCCTTGGTGGGCAGCCTCTTGTACGCAGCAGTTCACACGAGGCCCGACATCTCTTTCTCGGTTGGGCAGCTAGCTAGGGTGGTGCAGAATCCATCAGAGGAGCAGGTGGATGCAGCTGAGCGTGTGGTGAAGTACCTGAACTCTCACCCAAGCATTGGAGTTCAATACTCCGCATCTGCACAGGTGAAGCAGAAAGGGGTGGAGGTGCTGAAAGAGAAGGGGGAGAGGCTTGGAGAAGGCAAGCTATTTCTCACTTGCTTTACCGATGCTACATGGGCTTCTGAGAAGGAGGATTCCTCATCTGTGGGAGGATACATCTGCGTAGTTGGGGGAGGACCTGTTAGTTGGAGGTCCAAGAAGCAGACGGAGACGGCACTTTCTTCCGTAGAATCAGAGTACATGGCGATGTTCCATGGGGTGAAGGAGGTGATTTGGCTGAGGAGGCTGTTAGAGGAGATTGGCCAGGAGCAGAAAGTTGCTACGCCGCTGTTTTGTGATAGCAAGGGGGCTCTTGGGATGGCCAGAAACGCTGTGCTTCATGGGCTGAACAAGCACATGCGTATCAAGTGGCACTGGCTGCGTAAGGAGGTGAAGAGGGGGACGGTGAATCCAATCTACATCAAGACTCACCAGCAGCCAGCGGACTTTCTCACCAAGAGGCTTGCGGATGAGCCTCATTGGCGTTGTGTGCGCATGAGTGGAATGAGCATGAACTAGCATGGAATGACGGGGATGCAGCCGGCAGGCTGAGGGGGAGTGTGTTGGGTGCAAATGCACATTGCACGACATCCTGCCATCTGTTTGTACGAGTATGCGTGTGCGAATGCATTTGTGTGTGAATGGTGTGTTCGTGTGTTTGTTTGCTTTCGCAATTTTCGCTTGATGCATTTGCAGGTACTCGCGCAATGTGCGCTTCGGCACAACATTGTACGCGCTATGAACAGTGCAAGCAGAAAGGACGAGCTCGCAAAGGAACCCAAGATGGAAGCTTTGCAGTTCGGTTGAGTTGATTGCGCAGATTCAGTTCTATCCAACTCGAAATTGTACTGTTTTGTTTGGTTAACTATAGTGTAGCAGGGAAGGCACTATAGGGGTACAATTTAGGTGAAGGTTGGATGTTGTTTGTCTGCATGCTACAAGGCCAGGGGAAACCAGCGGAACCAGCATTTGGCTGGTTGGGCAAAGACAAAAACAGGTTCTGTTTTTAGAACCTGAACCTGGTTGTTGTTTTCCCAGGTTGGAAAAACAGAACCAGAGGTTGTTTACCAACCTACCACCTGCTATTTTGTCCAGCCAGGTTGGTTCTGTTGCTTGGAATTATTTGGGATCATCCCTGGTTGTTCCCAGGTTGATTCCCAAGGTCCTTGCTAGCTATAACTATTTAATCCTTCTCTGTTTGTACCTGAATATAGTCAAATTGATTCAAGCGAATTCCTTCCTCGCTGGAATTTCGTTTCTGCGCTATTCGACGGCGGAATGCTACCCGAGTCAACGCTAGTATGCTAGCACTCCCACGCTAGGCAAACGCTGTCCGAGCCAGAACTTAGTAATGGCAGAACTTGGCTCATTTTAAAGCTCTTGGAGCGAGCTTCGATATAGCAAGTTCTCAGCTTAATCCGACCGACGGTCTGCACGGCACGCTGCGCGACGTTCAAGGTACTCTTGCTGTTTTGACTAAGTCCTTCTTGATCCCTCTCTCTACAAACTCGGACCCGAGGATAGGGGCTGGTCTTGTACCAGGCACCCAGGGACCCTTGGAGGTGACCCCGAGGAGAGGTTTTAAGTTTGATTAAGTCCTAATAGCTTGAGTTTATTAGGCCCTTACACCAACACTGTCGGAGTGCTGCGTTAGCGCCTCCCCCTCAGCGCCCTCGTGCGCCCTCGTGTACGGCCCCTTAAGGCCCCGTCGACCCCGCGCGCCGCCCCTTAGCGACTCTCGCGCTGCCCCTTAGTGGCCCCGTCGAACCCGCGCGCGCCCCGATTCCGGCCCGCTTGGCCCCGTCGACCCCGCGCGCGACCCCGTAATAGGCCCCGCTGGCCCCGTCGGTCCCGCACGCGCCCCGCTTACGGCCCCGTCGACCCCGCGCGCACCCCGTTTAGCGGCCCCGCGGCCCCGTCGAACCACACCTAGAGGCCCCGCGGCCCCGCGCGCACCCCGTTTAGCGGCCCCGCGGCCCCGTCGAACCCAGCCTAGAGGCCCCGCGGCCCCGTCGCCCGCCACCTCACGGCCCCGCGACCCTGCTGCGCCCCGCTTAGCGGCCCCACGGCCCCGTCGAGCCCCGCTTAGAGGCCCCCGCGGCCCCGTACCGCCCCACGTAGCAACTCCGCGCAGCCGCGCAGCCCGAACCGAGCCGCGCCGCCCTACCTGAACCGAGCCGCGCCGCCCGACCGAGCCGCGCCGCCCTACCTGAACTGAGCCGCGCCGTCAGACCGAGCCGCGCCGCCCGTACCAGCAGCCCCGTCGATACTGCTGCTCCTCCTATTTCTTCTACGGCTACTACTACTGCTCCTACTGCTACTACTGCTGCCACTATGGCCAGTCCTCCCGTGCTTGCTTTCGATGCTGAGGGCCGCCCAGTGAAGTTTGACACCTGGCTAGATGACCTGCACCTCTTCCTACAGCTCACTGCCAAGGAGGATATTTCGCTGTACGATCATGCCCTCGGTCACGCTACTGCCCCTCCTACCACTGCAGACAGCACTCAGCGCTCACAGTGGCAGACTCGTGACGCCCATGCTCGCTTCGCTATTCGCAACTCCCTGCCGCTAGATGAGCGCGAGCACTTTGGCCAGCACAAGACTGCTAAGGACCTGTACACTGCTGTAGTTGCTCGTTACTCCTCACCTGCCTCTGCCGCACTAGGCCGCCTCACCCTCCCCTACCTGTTCCCCGACCTGGTCTCCTTTAGCACAGTCGCTGACCTCATCACCCACCTCAGGACCAGTGAGGCCCGCTTTCGCGCTGCTATGCCTGACGAGTTCCTTGCTAGCAACCCCCCCCCGCTCTGGATCACGCTCTACCACATCGTCACCCGCCTCCCTGACTCTCTGCGCGCAGTCAGGGATCACTTCCTCGCTCGCTCTCCCACTGAGCTCACCATTGCCCTCCTCGAGAAGGAATTGCTTGCAGCTGAGGCGAGCATCGTCGCTGTAGGCACCTCTCGTGGCGACCCCCGCACCCCGTTCTTTGAGGGGTGTTCCCCTTCCCCTCTCCTCCCCTCTGTCGCCTCTGCTGCTGCTGTCGACCTCCTTGGTGCTGAGAAGGTCGGAACCGCGTCTGCTCCGAGCGGGCGCCGCAGGGGCAAAGGGGGCAAGGGTGGAGGTGGCGGCGGGGGAGGCGGGGGTGGAGGCGGTGGGAGTGGAGGTGGGACTGGAGAGGCTAGTGGCGGCAGTGGGGGTGGTGACAGCAGCGGCGGGAGCGGTGGCAGGGGCGGAGGCGGCAGCGGAGGCGGAGGTGGTCGTGGCGGCGGCAGGGGTGGAGGTGGCCGGGGCGGTGGCGGCGGCGGTGGTGGTCGTGGAGGCGCTGGCGGTGGCCAGAGCCAGCAGCACGCCCCGTCGCTTCAGGAGGCACGTGAGTGGTATTCGCAGCGGGGGGGGGCGGGTGGTTTTACCTGCACGTACGTCATCCGCACTGGTGACCGCGCTGGCCAGACGTGTGGGAAGCCGCACCCCACGCAGCGCTGTTTCTCGCGCCTTACCGACGCATGGCGCGCCCAGTTTCCTGCTGGCGCTGAGCTGCCCCGCTGGGCTGATCTGGAGAGGCAGGGGGTTGATATCTGGGCTCTAGACTTTGATGCTATTCTCACTGCCATGTATGCGATGTTTACTAGTGGAGAGGGTGCTCAGTACTTGCGTGTTCCGCCCGACCCGGGCATTCTGACCAGTCCGACTGCCGCTCTAGGTGCTAGTGAGTCTGCTGCCCCAGGTCCTGGTGAGGCTGCTGCTCTAGGTGCTCGTGAGTCTGTGCCCCCTGGTACTGAGTCGACTGCGGCACTGCACACCTTCACACTGGACTCAGGTGCTTCTTGCTGTTTCTTTCGTGACCGCACTGTCCTTGAGCCACTCGCTCGGCCAGTTGCTGTCTCTCTCGCTGACCCCTCTGGGGGTCCGGTCCTTGCGACCTCCTCCACTGTCCTTCCTTGTCCTGCGGTCCCGTCAGGCACACTGTCCGGTCTCTACCTCCCCTCGTTCTCTACGAACTTGGTGGCGGGTAGTGCGCTCCAGGACGGGGGTGTTCACCAGTTCACCCCTGCCTACGAGCGCGTGATACACTGCACGTGTGCTCGGACGGGCCGTCACCTGGCTACCTTCACTCGGCAGCCGGGGTCGGACCTGTACACACTGACCACTGAGTCCCCTCAGGTAGCTGCGTCCGCGTCTGCGTCTGCGTCAGGTCAGCTGTCCGCCCCCTGCTCGTGTCGCTCTCTGGCGCACGAGACTGTCCTCTGGCACCACCGCCTTGGTCACCCGTCTGTGCAGCGCCTTCGGGCCATGCACAAACGGGACCTTGTTGCTGGTCTTCCCAGGGTTCTCCCTCCCCTCCCACCCTCGCCTGCTCCTCCCTGTCTTCCCTGTGTCGAGGGGCGGCAGCGCGCCGCTCCTCACTCCTCCTCCTTTCCCCCGACGACTGCTCCTTTGCAGACGCTCCACATGGACGTGTGGGGCCCAGCCCGCGTCCGTGGTCAGGGTCAGGAGAGGTACTTCCTGATTGTTGTTGATGACTTCTCGCGCTACACCACGGTCTTCCCCTTGCGCACCAAGGGTGACGTCCCTGATGTCTTGATCCCTTGGATCCGCAGATCTCGTCTTCAGCTCAGTGAGCGTTTCCGCTCCGACTTCCCTGTCCTGCGTCTGCACTCTGACAGAGGCGGGGAGTTTTCCTCTGGCCTCTTGGAGGCCATCTGTTAGCAGGAGGGCATTGAGCAGTCGTTCACGCTTCCGGCCTCTCCACAGCAGAACGGGGTTGCTGAGCGCCGCATTGGCTTGGTCATGGAGGTCGCTCGTACCTCCTTGGTTCATGCGGCTGCCCCCCACTTTCTGTGGCCGTTTGCGGTCCGATACGCTGCGCATCAGCTCAACCTCTGGCCCCGTGTCTCCTTACCGGAGACTTCTCCGACACTGCGTTGGACGGGAGAGGCTGGCGATGCGTCGCGTTTTCGGGTCTGGGGATCCCGAGCTTTTGTTCGCGACACGTCCGCAGACAAGCTCTCCCGTCGCGCTGTCCCCTGTGTCTTCCTTGGCTTTGTCCCGGACGCGCCTGGTTGGCAGTTCTACCACGCCACCTCGCGTCGTGTCCTGGCCTCTCAGGACGTCACTTTTGACGAGTCCGTCCCCTACTACCGCCTCTTCCCCTACCGCACTGCCCCACTCCCCCCCCCGCCTCTCTTCCTCGCTCCAGGTGCTGAGGTACCAGACCCCCTCCCCCCTCAAATTGCCGCTCCCTCAGGTGTGTCCCAGGTAGACCCGAGTGAGCCTGTCGAGGTAGCTGTTGACTCTCGTCCTGCTGGGGGTACTGAGCCTGGGGGTGCTGAGCCTGGGGGTGCTGCGTCTGGGGGTGCTGAGCCTGGGAGTGCTGAGTCTGGGGGTGCGGAGCCTGGGGGTGCTGAGCCTGGAGGTGCGGAGCCTGGAGGTGCGGAGCCTGGGGGTGCTGAGTCTGGATACGAGTGTGGAGCCTGGGGGTGCTGAGTCTGGGGGTACTCCATCTGGAGGAGCCCTCTCCTCCCAGCAGCTGCAGGAGAGGTACCTACAGTACTGCCGCCTCCGGAGAGGTACTGCTGGAGCTGGTTGTTGGTGTAAGGGCCTAATAAACTCAAGCTATTAGGACTTAATCAAACTTAAAACCTCTCCTCGGGGTCACCTCCAAGGGTCCCTGGGTGCCTGGTACAAGACCAGCCCCTATCCTCGGGTCCGAGTTTGTAGAGAGAGGGATCAAGAAGGACTTAGTCAAAACAGCAAGAGTACCTTGAACGTCGCGCAGCGTGCCGTGCAGACCGTCGATCGGATTAAGCTGAGAATTCGCTATATCGAAGCTCGCTCCAAGAGCTTTAAAATGAGCCAAGTTGCCTCGCGAAAAGTTCTGCCATTACGAAGTTATGGCTCAGACGGTGTTTGCCTAGCATTAGAGTGCTAGCGTACTAGCGTTGACTCGGGTAGCATTCCGCCAACGAACCGCGTAGAAACGAAATTCCAGCGAGGAAGGAATTCACATGAATCAATTTGACTATATTCAGGTACAAACAGAGAAGGATTAAATAGTTCTAGCTAGCAAGGACCTTGGGAATCAACCTGGGAACAACCAGGGATGATCCCAAATAATTCCAAGCAACAGAACCAACCTGGCTGGACAAAATAGCAGGTGGTAGGTTGGTAAACAACCTCTGGTTCTGTTTTTCCAACCTGGGAAAACAACAACCAGGTTCAGGTTCTAAAAACAGAACCTGTTTTGTCTTTGCCCAACCAGCCAAATGCTGGTTCCGCTGGTTTCCCCTGGCCTTGTAGCATGCAGATACAGACAAACAACATCCAACCTTCACCTAAATTGTACCCCTATAGTGCCTTCCCTGCTACACTATAGTTAACCAAACAAAACAGTACAATTCCGAGTTGGATAGAACTGAATCTGCGCAATCAACTCAACCGAACTGCAAAGCTTCCATCTTGGGTTCCTTTGCGAGCTCGTCCTTTCTGCTTGCACTGTTCATAGCGCATACAATGTTGTGCTGAAGCGCACATTGCGCGAGTACCTGCAAATGCATCAAGCAAAAAATGCGAAAGCAAACAAACACACGAACACACCATTCACACGCAAATGCATTCGCACACGCATACTCGTACAAACAGACGGCAGGATGTCGTGCAATGTGCATTTGCACCCAACACACTCCCCCTCAGCCTGCCGGCTGCATCCCCGTCATTCCATGCTAGTTCATGCTCATTCCACTCATGCGCATACAACGCCAATGAGGCTCATCCGCAAGCCTCTTGGTGAGAAAGTCTGCTGGCTGCTGGTGAGTCTTGATGTAGATCGGATGCACCGTCCCCCTCTTCACCTCCTTACGCAGCCAGTGCCACTTGATACGCATGTGCTTGTTCAGCCCATGAAGCACAGCGTTTCTGGCCATCCCAAGAGCCCCCTTGCTATCACAAAACAGCGGCGTAGCAACTTTCTGCTCCTGGCCAATCTCCTCTAATAGCCTCCTCAGCCAAATCACCTCCTTCACCCCATGGAACATCGCCATGTACTCTGATTCTACGGAAGAGAGTGCCGTCTCCGTCTGCTTCTTGGACCTCCAACTAACAGGTCCTCCCCCAACTAAGCAGATATATCCTCCCACAGATGAGGAATCCTCCTTCTCAGAAGCCCATGTAGCATCGGTAAAGCAAGTGAGAAATAGCTTGCCTTCTCCAAGCCTCTCCCCCTTCTCTTTCAGCACCTCCACCCCTTTCTGCTTCACCTGTGCAGATGCGGAGTATTGAACTCCAATGCTTGGGTGAGAGTTCAGGTACTTCACCACACGCTCAGCTGCATCCACCTGCTCCTCTGATGGATTCTGCACCACCCTAGCCAGCTGCCCAACCGAGAAAGAGATGTCGGGCCTCGTGTGAACTGCTGCATACAAGAGGCTGCCCACCAAGGACTGAAATTGCTGCTGCTCTTCAGCTTCAACCCCTTCATCCTCTGCAGCCTTCACAAGCTTGAATTCTGCTGGCAGGGGAGTTGCAACCTTGCGCTCATTCTCAATCCCATACTTCTCCCCCAGCTCCTTGATGAACTTCTCCTGGTGCAGCTTCAACCACCTGTGATCAGGATCCCTCTCCACGTGCATCCCGAGGTAGTACTTTACCTCCCCAAGGTTCTTGCACTTGAAGTTTTCCATCAGTTGCTGCTGCACTTTCTGGATCTCCTTCATGCTGCTGCTGAAGAGAAGAATGTCGTCCACATAGACCAGAAACAGCACCAGCTTCTCCCCCTCGCCCTTGAGAAAGAGGCTCTCATCACAGCTGCTGGTCCTGAATCCCATCTCCTCTAAAACAGCTGCCAACTTCTGGTACCAGCAGCGTGGCGCCTGCTTCAAGCCGTAGATGGACTTGTTGAGCTTGCACACCCTGCCCGTACCATCCTCATACCCAGGCGGCTGCGTCATGTACACATCCTCCTCTAAAATCCCATTCAGGAATGCCGTTGAAATATCCATCTGAATGATGAATTTCCCACTAACAGCTGCATCTGCCAACAAGACACGGAGGGTAGGGGGTTTGGCAGTGGGAGCAAAGATTTCGTTGAAGTCCTGCTTCTCCTTCTGCATAAACCCCTTCGCCACCAGCCTACTCTTGTAGATGGTGACCTGCCCCTTGTCATCGGTCTTGATCCTCAGCACCCACTTGCATTGTATCGCTTTCTTCCCATCAGGCAGCACCACCAGATCCCATGTCCTATTCTCCAGCAGACTCTGGTACTCAGCATCCCTAGAAGCCAGCCACTTGTCCCTATCTGGTCCAGCTAATGCCTCTTCCATGCTAGCTGGTTCCTCTGGTGCAGGGGCAAGAAAACAGTACGCAGGCTCATCCTCCTCATCCGGGTCATAGCCATGAGGTAGAATCAGCAATGCCTCTTCGGTCCCTAGCTGCTGCTCTGCTGCATCAGTTCCTGCAGTCAGCTTCTTAGTAGCCATACGGGTACGTCCTGGCCTGGAGACGGGTGTCTCCCATCCCTTCATAACGACACCCTTCGGCTTCTTAGTTTTTCCCTGCTGCTTCTCTCCTCCCTCGGGTCCAGCAGCTCCACTAGTGCTGCCGCCAGTTTCCACACCATTTTCTCCACCAGCAGATGCCTCCTGTACCTTCTCTCCATCACCATTTCCAGCAGCTGCCTCCTCTCCCTCCTCCCACACACTAGGAGTCAGGTCCAGCTGCATGGTGATCTGCTCCATCTGCTGGGACACCCTTGCCTCCGGCTGTTTCTCCCAGCTCCCATACATCATGCCCTCAATGAATTTCACATCCTTGCTGTCAAACAACACACCCTTGGATGGTTCCCACAGCAGCCATCCCTTGCTCTCAGCAGCCAGCCCCAAATGCACACACCAGATTGCACTCGCCCCCAACTTACTGCGGTAGGTCTTGGGGACGTGGGCGACTGCCATGCAACCGAACACCCTCAGCATGTCCACCGGCGGCTTCCTCCCAAGCCACCTCTCCAAAGGCACCCACGAGTCATCCCCAACCTTGGTGAGCACCCTGTTCCTAGCGACAGTGGCGTGCCGGACAGCATGAGGCCACATAGAATTGCTCAGCCCAGATTCTATGAGCAGCGCCCTAGCTGTCTCCAGAATGGTCCGGTTTGCCCGTTCTGCTACACCATTGGACTGTGGGGTATAAGCCGTGGTCAGCTCTCTCTGGATGCCCTGCTTCTTGAGCCAGGCCGTCATTTCAGCTCCAAGGAACTCACCACCCCGGTCTGTCCTAATCCGCTTCACTACACACTCCGCCTGCTTCTCCACGAATGGCAGCCAATCGTCCCGTATCGTGGAGGCGGCGTGGTCCTTCTGCTTCAGCGGATACGCCCACATCAGCCTGCTCCAGTCATCCACAATTGTAAGAAAATACCGCTCCCCCTTGTGCCCTTGCACCGGCAGCGGCCCCACCAAGTCCATGTGGACCAGCTCCAAAGGCTTCTTGCTCCTGCCAGCCACACTATGGAAAGGGAAACGGGTGAACTTTGAAAGCAAACAGATTTCACAGTTGTCATCGGGTGGCTGTCCGTTCAGCTTCAGACCCTTAACGGCTCCATCCTTCTCCAGCTGCTTCAGCAAAGGCATTGCCACATGCCCTAAGCGCCGGTGTGCCGTTGCCCAATCTGTCTCCCCAGATCTGGCCGACACTTTCACACCAACCCCTCCAACGGCATTGCACTCCCCCTGGGATGCAGACCCCTCTCCAGCCTGCCCCCCACCATGCCACGCCAGGGCCGGCAGCTGCCACATAGATCTGTACACGTCCTTGCTCTCGTGCAGATCCCAAAGCACCCGATTGCCCAGCTTCCCCTTATAAGTGCGTGCCCCATCCGTGTTGGTGTTCACCCCAGCCTTGCCAAGCTTACGGAGGGAGATAAGGTTGGCCTTCAGGTCGGGGACGAAGAGAACGTCGTGCAGCACCACCGGCTTGCCATCCGCTCCCTTAAACGCAGCTCGTCCCGCACCAGCCACCTTCAACATGTGTCCAGAGGCGGAGCACACTTCATTGATCGGTGCAGCTCGTACTTCGTCCAGCAGGTCCTTGCGCGGCGTCATCGTCCAAGCAGCGCCTGTGTCCAACACCCAATAGTCTAGGGGGTGCAGCTCTGCTCCAACTTTGGCAGAGGCGTCTCCTTGCTCCCCCTTGTCTCCCACATGGAAGAATTGGCCCGCGGTGCGCTCCTTCTTCTTCTCCGCACCGCCGTTGCCCTTCGGGTTGTTGTCGGACGAATCAGCGACCATGTTGGCGCCGTTTTTCTGGTTCCTCCGCGCGCCGCCATCCTGGTGACGATTCTGGGGGGTCCATCCATCGGGTTTCTTATAGCACAAAAACCAGGGGTGCCCTTCCTTCTCACAATACCAGCAACTCCCTTTCATTTTGCCACCAGCACCCGACTTGCCCCCACGTCCAGATTTCGCACCGCGACCCCAACCAGTACCTCCTTGTTGGTC